AGACCTGATCGTGTTCTGTGTTAACTGGGTCATGGAGACCTGTGTTCCATCGATACTCGCACATCAGACCTGATCGTGTTCTTTCTGCACTGGTGAATTTAGACTGGATCTTGTTCCATCTACCCTGGCACATTTAGACCCGACCGTGCTCTCTGTAGTCTCTGCTGTAGTGTGCGTGTTGCTGTCATGGGCACTGTTGATATGACCCAACCAGTAAGGGCTTCTGTGGCCGTCGGCGTCTGGGTGGAGAAGGGAGTTGTGGGGCACCGTGTGGCTGGCCTGTGACACAGACAGTGCAGGTGTCCTGGGGGCTGGAGATTCACCTGGTGCCCCTCACATCGTTCATTTCTCACCATCTTGGGTGTGCAGACGAGGTAAAGTGGATCCGTGCACTTCACAGAGAGGGCAGAGGAGGTTTCCTCACAAACTGCACTGACTTAGCAGTGAGGACCGACCTTGCAGAACCAGTTACTGACCCGGTCTAGCCTCGGGATGGGGGGTTTCGGGACATGTTTGTAAGTCGTTAGTGACCTGGTCTAGGCTCAGAACGGGGGTTTTCGGGACATGTTTGTACCTGATTAGTGACCTGGTCTAGCCTCGGGATGGGGGGTTTTAGGACATGTTTGTAACCCGGTTAGAGCTCTGGCCTCACCTCTCAGGGACTGACTGAAGGTGTAGAAGCCTCAGCTGGCCTCAGGGTTCTTGAGGCTGGGGTGTCCTGTTGAGGCTGGCTTGTTGGAGCAACTACACTCCCCCCCCCAAGTCTGATCGCCAGTCCCTGGCAGGGCACCCCACCCCCTCACACCGCAGCAAATGGGGAGGGGCTCAGTAAGTTGGGGGAGAATGGTGGGAGCCAGTCGCCGGGGACTAGCACAGAGGGAGTGATGTGTAGGAGGGGAAGTGTATGGGGGATGGGCACACGGGTCCCAGCATGGAGGAGGAGGGTTGTGCCCACAATGCACTGGGGAAGGTGGGGTGCGGAGCGTGGGGGCCCTGGCATGGGGGATGGCACAGGCGGTAGGGCACGGTGTGTGGGAAAAGGTTGTGCAGGATCTCGTGGGTCCCTGCTTGCACGGGTGAGTGTGAGCGAGGCAGGGAGCTGTGAACGCAGCCCCACACCCTGCGGAGTTGGGGATGCGGACCCTGGGGGGGGGCAAACGGCCGCACGTGGGGGTAGAGCGTGACGGGTGTGCAGCATGCGAAGAGCACAGAGCTGGGGCATGTCTGACCCTCAGTCATTCTCTGGGCACCCCCAGGCTGGACACTTTGCGTCATCCCCCCGCTGGGTTCTGGCCTCCAGCCTCAGCCTCCCTGCAGGACTCACCGTCCCTGAGGGGTCTCACGCAGGCTGTGCAGGTGACTCAGACTGTCCGTGTGCGCGACGGACGCCAGGCTGGAGGCGGGTTCCCCTGAGGAACCCTTCCCGCGCAGGCGCAGAGGCGGGAGCCGAGTTCTCCTGAGGAACCCTTCCCGCGCAGGCGCAGAGAGGCTGGAGACGGGTGCCCCTGAGGAACCCTTCCCGCGCGTGCGCAGAGAGGCTGAAGGCGGGTTCCCCTGAGGAACCCTTCTCGTGCAGGCGCAGAGAGGCTGGAGGCGGGTTCCCCTGAGGAACCCCTTCC